AACAGTTGAATGGACTTGGTTCTCAGTTGTCAAGGTCTTGTACAAATATGAGATTTCTACCTTTTTTTCCCCCTTTCCTGGTCAAATTAAGAACTATTCAGTCGACAATCACAGTTTCCCAGCATTGTCAAGAGAACAAAGGCAGATGCCTTTCATCTAAACAGCTGTTCGGTTTCTTTAAAACTGGAGGCATCACCTTGCTCAGATCCTGGAAGTAGGGATCTGTATGTTGTCCAAAGCAAACCAAAGTCTTCCCAAAATTCACTGGTAAACAGGATATTGAGTTACCTGGCAGTGAAACTCCTGAACACAAACTGCTTCCTTTTCTGTAAGGCAAAGGTCTTGTCTTCCTACCTGAAAAGGAAGCTAATTTCATCGTCCAGTGTAACTAGGACTTGGTCTTCCTGCAGATTAATCTATGAATCCATGACATGGTGAAGACCCATCCTAGCCCCCAAAGGTCTGAAATTTGATTCACTTTTCATGCAAGTGAAGTGATGGGAATTTGATATACAAATTGAGGGTTTGAAACTTTTTCTAGACAACGTCGTGCTCTGTTGCCCAGGCTGGAGGGCAGTGGTGCAAACAGCTCACTGCAGCCTCGACCTCCTGGGCTCAAGTGATCCTCTTGCCTCAGCCACCCAAGTAGCCGGGACCACAGGTACATGCCAGCACACCCAGCTAATTTTTTTTAATTTCTTTTTTTTGAGACAGGAGTCTCATTTTGTTGCCCAGGCTGGTCTCAAACTCCTGGGCTCAAATAATCTTCCTGCCTCGGCCTCCCAAAGTGTTGGGATTACAGACATGAGCCACCATGCCTGGCTGAATGTTAGAATCTCCTTTTTTTTGTTTTGTTTTTTTTGTTTGAGATGGAGTCTTGCTCTGTCACCCGGGCTGGAGTGCAGGGGCGTGATCTCCGTTCACTGCAAGCTCCGCCTCCTGGGTTCATGCCATTCTCCTGCCTCAGCCTCCGGAGTAGCTGGGACTACAGGCACCCGCCACCATGCCCGGCTAATTTTTCATATTTTTGGTAGAGACGGGGTTTCATCGTGTTAGCCAGGATGGTCTCAATCTCCTGATCTCGTGATCCGCCCGCCTCGGCCTCCCAAAGTGCTAGGATTTTTTTTTTTTTTTTTTTTTTTGGAGATGGAGCCTCACACTGTTGCCCAGCCTGGAGGCTGGAGCGCAATGGCGCAATCTCAGCTCACTGCAACCTCTGCCTCCTGGGTTCAAGTGATTCTCCTGCCTGTGCTGCCCTAGTAGCTGGGATTACAGGCGCCCACCACCATGCCCGGCTAATTTTTTGTATTTTTAGTAGAGATGGGGTTTCACTATGTTGTCCAGGCTGGTCTCGAACTCCTGACCTCGTGATCCACCCACCTCGGCCTCCCAAAGTGCTGGGATTACAGGCGTGAGCCACTGCGCCCAGACCTAGAAACTCTTAAACCCAAGTGCACGCAAACTGCAATCTACGTCACCTCATTTGTGACTGGACTTACAGAGAGAGAAGAGAAAATATTTTGCAAGAGTTTTGTTTTCCATAGAACCAAAAGGGTATCACAGGGAAGAAGTCAGCAGTGCAGCCAAATTAGATTATAATAATCTTTAAGGTCATGAGGCAACATCTTGCTCATCTTTGTGAACCCTCAAATTACAGCATAGCAAAGGCACACAGGTATTTGTTGAACAAATCATAATATAAAGAGTTGCTATTTACCTTTTGGATTTTATAAAAGAAGGATTGAGGGAGAGAATCAACAAGAACTACACCGGAATGAAGGCTATTGAATAAGTTATTCCCAACCTGTGAAGTCTGCATAACAATGAGTTTCTGGTCAAATTCAGTTGTCTCATGGGAATGACTTCAGATTTCCCATTATTATTCTCAGTAGTAGTGGTAGTATTCTTTACAGGAGAAGCAGCAGGTACCATTATTAGCACCTAATGTGCACCAGTTAGGCCATTTATGTACGTTTTTGCTAAACTTCACAGTAACAAGATGGACCATTTTACAGTTGCAGAAACTGAGGTTAAAGTTGCCAAAGGTCAGAGGATCCTGCCTACACTAATAGGGGCGGTTTCTTCACTGCCAGGCCTAATAAAACAATCTCCAGTTGTTCAGCTTTATTACTTTAGTTTGCTGAGAACTTGATTAGAGGACGCATGGTAATGGTTTTGGCAATCATTTAAGAGATCTGATGCTTTGAAGAAAGCAGTTGTTTTGAACAAGAAAACAAATTAAATAACCTTTTATCTTAAGCCATGTTGGGCGTTCTGCACAACAAAAAAACGTGTTCTAGTTTTCACGTTCCCCTGTAGTTTGGGCTGAATGCATCTCGTCCAGCCCCACACATCATACTAATATTTGTCCTGCACGACAAGGCAATACTTGTCCTGCACAACAGTATGAGGCAACACGTAGACTGGCTAAGAGACGATCCTCATTCTTAAGGAGCGTGCAGGCTAGTTGGAGAGAAAAGACATACTCATTAAGCAATTTTAGAATATTTAAACGCTAAAGGTCATTTTTTAAAAAAAACCCTGAAAGTAAGGGTTTTTGCCAAAGCAGAGTCAGAGTCGACTTGGTGGAATAAACTGGAAACAGACCTTGGAGGACCTTCTGGCTGGTGCAGGCTGGGCAAGAAAGTTCCCATGGGCAGAAGCACGCCTCCCTGTGAAGGCGAATACAGTGGTGGGGCTTGGTGGCCTCTGGGCAGTGTGAAGTTCTGCTGCCTGGGGTGTGTGGGAAATTTGAATATTCTGTTGGGATTCCTGCTGGAAATCAAGGTGAAATTCTTATCCTCAGGACCTTGGGGCCAGGTCCTGACCTTCTAGACTTGGCCTGAGCGTCAGGCCTGCCCCTTCCCTGGCCCTTCTTCTGTTTCTTCCTCTTCTCTCCATGAGGTGGAAAGCAGGAGGCAGGACTTCTGAGAACTGAGGGGGGCTGAGGTCTCAGTTGATGAGGGAGAAGCCTCTGTGTTCAAGGAATGCAACTTTTGGTAGTGGGAAAATGCTTCCCTCCTTCCCTCAGTGACAGATCCCTTAGTGTGTTTTACACTAAGAGAGAGCTCGCTCGCTCTCACTCTCTCACCTTCCTCCTCTCACCCCCTTTTTGATCGGCAAAATCATATCTAATCACCATCCTGCACCATCGCAAGACTACCTTCTCATTTCCCAGAGAACTTTCAGTCTCTCCTTTCACACCTACAACTTCTCTGGGCTCCACCAACTTGCCCCAAGTTGCTCTTACACCGCCAGCAACTTCCCTCTTCTAGTAAGTTCCCTGCGGGGCATGATCCTCTCTGTCTTGGCGTACAGCACGCACCACTGCCATGCCCTCCTGAGGCCCGTCAGAAGTAAGTAGACCTAGTCATTGTATTAAATTAGGTTTCATGGGCTGCCAGAAAGAACTTTAATTCCCTTCCTGAATCTGCAGGAAAACTATTCACACGACTACAACTTACACTCTGGAACATGAATCCAGTTGACTCATGTGCCAAAAAAGGCTGTGCTCTCACACACAAGTCGGGGGCCTTCCCTGGCTTTATCCCTATGTTACCAGCTGGCTACATCTATTTGTGACGTTTCTAAACTGTCTAAAGAAGATGATCCAGGTAAATAAATGATCTTGGGGAATTTCGTCCAGATATTCATGATGTAACTGCCTTGTAAACCCAAGAACTTGTAGAGATGCATGGAATATACTAGAACTTTTCCTCCACATTCACGTGCACTGACACTAAGTACATGTGAAGAGGAAACTCAAAACTGTATCAATTAGCAACCCAATTCAAAATGTGGATTAAAAAGAAAATGTTCATTGGAAACTAGGTCCACAATAGCACCCCAGTTACTGTCTTCCTATGAATATCGTCCCAACACAGTGGAGGGTAGGGGACAGGAAACAGAAAGGCATACGGTTCCCAGATGCTTGCAACGTTTCTCTACAGGCATGTTTGCTAATCAACCTGAAGATATAAATATGCAGGTATTACACAAAATATGTTATGATTCAAACCTGGCTGAGCACTTGGGAGGCAGAGCCATTGTGTGTCCCAACAGTGTTACTAGCGGGCACATCCCAAGACCTGTGGATTGGAACCTAGAAACTTCTTAACAAGGCTGGGCACAGTGGCTCATGCTTGTAATCCCAGTACTTTGGGAGGCCAATGTGGGCGGATCACTTGAGGTCAGGACTTTGAGACCAACATGGCCAACATGGTGAAACCCTGTCTCTACTAAAAATATGAAAATTAGCTGGGCGTGGCGGCAGGCACCTGTAATCCCAGCTACTCAGGAGGCTGAGGCAGGAGAATCGCTTGAACCTGGGAGGCAGAGATTGCAGTGAGCCAAGATTATGCCACTGCACTCCACTCTAGGCAACAAGAGCAAGACTCCATCTTAAAAAAAAAAAAAAAAAAGGATGAAACTTCTTAGCAAAAGGAAAGATCCCTCCCTTCGGCCTCTGCATCATAGGTGTCATGGGTGCTTATAAAGGAGGCTTTTTTTTTTTTTTTTTTTTGAGATGCAGTCTCGCTCTGTTGCCCAGGCTGGAGTGCAGTGGTACCATCTCAGTTCACTGCAACCTCTACCTCCCGGGTTCAAGCGATTCTCCTGCCTCAGCCTCTGGAACTACAGGCATGTGCCACCAAGCCAAGCTAATTGTTGTACTTTTGTAGAGATGGGGTTTCACCACGTTGGCTAGGCTGATCTCAAACTCCTGACCTCAAGTGATCCTATGAAGGAGGCATTATTATTTCCCTGTAGCAAGTAGGGAAACTGAGGCTTGAAGAGGTGAAGTGATTTTCCTAAGCTCACATGGTTACATGAAACCAGATTTCAAATCCAGCTCTTCTGTGACCTCCTGGGTCCTTTCTCTTGACTGCCCTTCCACCTAACCCTACCCCCGACCATTGCTGGGCCCTTTGAACATTCTTTATGTGGAAGACATTTTCCTGTAAACAAAATAATTATTGAAAAGATGTTGTGTCTTTCAGCAGATGAAGCACCAATGGTTTTAAGGAAGAGGAAGCCAAACCTGAGGAGATTTACAGTCAGCCCAGAATTGCACAGCCCGAGAGCGTCTGAGGACAGAAGCAGACAGAAACCGCAGTGGCCCGCAAAGGTGCCAGCTCCCAGGAGAGCAGGTAAGGCCCCGGGGCTCCTGCACCTTTGTCCTTAAAGAGGAGGACTGACTTTTGCTGTTACCCAGTGAATTCTTTATGGTTTTTAGAGACTTGTACTTTTAAGTAAATGAGGGGCATGTACCTTAAAATGAAACAGCTTTAAAAGCAAATTGTATGATCCTAGGGTTTGGGGGGTTTTTTCCTCCAGGAGAGGCTGCTGGGAAAAGGGGTAGGTGGGGTGGGGAGGGTATCTTTTTCTCTCCCATAACTCCATGAGTGTGAGCGGTTTTGAGTGGACATCAGCTGTACAGCTGCTCCAGAGGGCATTTGGGTAGTGGATGGCATTTGGGTAGTGGATGGCGTCTGGGTGGTGGACGGCGTCTGGGTGGTGGAGGGTGTTTGGGTGGTGGAGGGTGTTTGGGTGGTGGACGGCGTCTGGGTGGTGGAGGGCGTCTGGGTGGTGGACGGCGTCTGGGTGGTGGACGGCGTTTGGGTGGTGGAGGGCGTTTGGGTGGTGGATGGCGTTTGGGTGGTGGACGGCGTCTGGGTGGTGGACGGCATTTGGGTGGTGGATGGCATTTGGGTGGTAGAGGGCGTTTGGGTGGTGGAGGGCAGGGGTTGAGGAAGGCAGAGAAGCGGATCTGCAGCTCTAGGGCATGTCCCACCTCTCGATTGTTCCCACTTACTTCCTGGGATGGGGAGGATGTGTGTCTGTGGGTGACAGGCTGCTGACCTCCCACAGAGATCTTCTCCCCTCTGACCCAGAACACTGAACTCAGCAAGATCACAATGTGTGAGAAATACACAACATTGGAACGAATCTATGCTTTATTCCCAAACACTGGTTTGGTGTATCACCCCCTTGGGACTCATGGAAAGCAACACCTCACAGTCAACCTGGCCATGGACCCATTCTTTCTCTTAGAAAACCACTGAGCATCACATTATGTCATGACCAATGAACACAGTTGCCTTTGTTTTATTTTTTTATTGTATTTTTTTTATTGTATTTGTTTATTTTGAGGCAGAGTCTCCCTCTGTTACCCAGGCTGGAGTGCAGTGGCACCATCTCGACTCACTGCAACCTCCACCTCCCGGGTTCAAGCAATTCTTCTGCCTCAGCCTCCCGAATAGCTGGAATTACAGACATCCGCCACCACGCCCGGCCTTTTTTCTTTTTTTTTTTTTTTTTTTTTTTTTTGTATTTTTGTATTTTTAGTGGAGATGGGGTTTCTCTATGTTGGTCAGGCTGGTCTCGAACTCCCGACCTCAGGTGATCCGCCCGCCTCAGCCTCCCAAAGTGCGGGGATTACAGGCATGAGCCACCGCACCCAGCAAGAACTATCTCTTGATAAAAGAACCTTGGATTATAAATTCAAATGCCTTCAGGGAGCAGGTGGATATAGCAGGACAGATGCATAATGGGTTATGGAGCCTGTGGTAAGCTACAATATACATGTTACACCTAAAAGTAATAAACTCATTGTTCAAATACTGAGCCATGGCGAGGCATGATGCGTCATGCCTATAATCCTAGCACTTTGGGAGGCCAAGGTGGGAGGATTGCTTGAAGCCAGAGGTTCGAGACCAGCCTGGGCAACAAAGCAAGACTCCATCTCTAGAAAAAAAATTTAAAATTAGTCAGGTGTGGTGGCATGTACCTGTAGTCCCAGCTACTCAGGAGGCTGAGGTAGGAGGATCGTTTGAACCTACAACTGTACTCCAGCCTGGGTGACAGAGCAAGACCCTCTTTCTAAAATAAATAAAAAAGAAAGAAAGAAGAAAAGAGGCTGAGCCAAAGCACAATTGCAGGATGAAAACAGCCCTGGGGTCTTGAGTATGCAACCTACCCCTGAATTCCAGAACAACAGCAATGATCATCTGAGTTTGGGATTATGGGGGATTTTTATTTTCTTCTTTATCCTCTTCAATAGTTTCCAAATTTTCTCCAATGATCATAAACCACTTTTATAACCAGAGCGAACCAAGTTAAAAGTGTATGGCTCTTCGAATGTAGGAAACTATTGGTCAAGCACACCAAGAAGTCGAGACCAAAAGCATAGTCTCAGGGCAGACAGATGCTTCTTCTGGTTTCATTCTGTTGCCCTAGAACTCCTGGAGATGGCAGGCACTTCACTCACAGCTGGAGCCCAGGGCCTCAGAGAAGCATTTGCAGCATCTGCAGGGCCTGGTCTATGAATAGCACATCCCTGGCATACCAATGTGCCTGTCTATTCCCAGCCCTAGAGCTCCTGAAATCTGCTCTCTATTTGATAGACATAAAAAAAAAATAGGGTTAAAATAGCATAAATTGAGAATGGCACAGTCTGCCACCTTTAGGGGAAACACACACACACACACACACACACTGCAGAGAAGCTCTGATTGAATTTTTAAAGAGGAAGACCATTGTGGTGACAAAGCAAGGGTGAAGATGCTCCCCCTGCATGTTTCAGGAATCTGCAGGAGCCGCAGCACCGCACATACCCTGGGACTTCTCCTGCCCCTCAGGCCAGCATCACCCCGTGACAACTCGGTGGCCTCTATAAGATGAGCTTAATGGCTCCCGTTGAGCTTCCAGTTTCTGTTTTTCAAAAGCGGCCCCTGATGATTCCTTTGCCCATTGGGTGTTTTCCCTCACGGGGGTGGGTCATGTGTGTTCAGGGAATGACCGGAAGTTTCCGGTTCCAGCACTGTGAGCTCACCTCTGAAGCCCTCCACCAAATTCAAAACAAAAAGTCACCAGCCAGAGCCCGTACTGCCAACTCCTCTAGATCCCTTTTCTATTTTATTGATTTATGTATTTATGTATTTATTTATTTTTGAGACGGAGTCTCACTCTGTTGCCCAGACTGGAGTGCAATGGTACAATCTGGGCTCACTGCAACCTCTGCCTCCTGGGTTCAAGCGATTCTCCTGTCTCAGCCTCCCAAATAGCTGGGATTACAGGTGCCCACCACCATGCCCGGCTAATTTTTGTAGTTTTAGTAGAGATGGGGTTTCACCATGTTGTCCAAGCTGGTCTTGAACTCCTGACCTTAAGAGATCTGCCCACCTCGGCCTTTCAAAGTGCTGGGATTACAGGCATGAGCCACCACCCCTACCCCCCTTTACTATTTTAAAAAATTATCAGGAGAATTCAGTTGCTTACGTAGAAGCATTTGTTCCCCAAAATGGGGGTCGGCCCAGTCTGGGATGGCCTCGCCACCAGCTCCAGTGCTGTAGTTCCACAGCCAGGTGCTCAAAGCATCCTTGAATTGCTGCTGCATCTCTAACTGGGGTTTATAAAACCCAGGAGGGGCCTGAGAGGAGAGCTTAGCTGATTTCTAGAAGAGCTGATGAGTCAAGATTCATACTGCGTTGCTGAGTGTCCCAAGCAGTTAACAATAAAAGAAGCTGCCCGAGTGCTAGGACGTTAGAGACTCACACTGGTGCCCCCCTGTGAGCAGCCTCAATTAAAGTGAGCCAGCACTGACTTGGCCCTTGGCGGTGCCCGATGCTCTGAGGATTTGCATTTCACCAGCCCAAGCTGTTATCAACACAGACCTTCCAGGGCCCATGGAGTCCCGTCCACTCTATAGGGTGAACCGCTTTAGAAATGGAATGATAAAAAGAGCAGCATCTCATCAGATCCCACACAATAGCAGAGAGGAGAACAAAGCTGGGGGGAGGCCAATGTCAGGAGGGAATAAAGGTAAGTGGCATCAGAGAAGTACTGTCAGTTTCCTTCTCACATCGAGAGGGTAAAAGACCCTCAACAGCACACACACACCATGACGAATTCAATGGATTTTCATTTTCACAAGGAAATTGGAAGGCCAGGCAGTTTTTAAGGGCTAACAGGGTAGTGTTTAAGAACACAAACCCTAGTATCGAGCAGGCGTGGGTTCAAATGTTCATTCCATCACTTACTAGAAATAGGATCTTGGGCTAGTTATGTGACTGCTCTAAGCCTTGGTACCCTCAGTTTTAATGTTGTATGATTGTGTTACCTATTTCACAGGGTTGTGAGGCTTAAGTGTGTGTGTGTGTGTTTGTGAGAGAGAGAGACAGTTAGCATGGTTCTGTCCAATTTAGTGATTCCATGTAGGAATTTATAGTAGGGATTCTAGGGTAGCTAGAAGTTACATAATTGACCTGGGGCTAGTGACAAAGAGAAGATATGATTTCATGAGAGATTTATAATTTTTATTTTCACTAAATAGTAAACATGACCAAAATCCCCAGTGTGCCCGAGTGCCAGCTCCTATAGCCTTCCTCCTGATCTGCCAAGACATATTGTACTTCTCTTACGTTCTTGTAAAGCTGCGTGGGAAGCAGGGTGTCATAAATGTACGTCGAATGAATTTGGATGAGAAAGGACTGGTGGTTGTTGTAGAAGTCATTCCCAGAGTGCTGGTTTTCCTTCAGTACATATGGAACAAAAGCCAGTATTTAGCGTGAGGTTTGCCCATCGTCAGTCCTGACTGGCTGAGGTTGGGCCAGTCTTCTGGGACCTTCTGCTGAAAGAATCTGTATCCTCAGGGTCGCCCCATTTCCCTAGGACCACAGGTGTACAAAAGAGAATGTGGGGCAGTAAAATGAAGCGTACTGGGCTCTGCTCCTCTTGTACCTCCAGCCATTTTGACCATGCCTATTTTCTTCTCTAGGTCTTGTTTGTTGCATTTAAAGGGCAATTTTGCACTTGGTACTAGAGGCCTTTCATCCATGGGCCCTTTTACTGGAATAATAAATGTGTCTTTTCTCAATGCAGACCAAGTAGTTCAACAAGGAGACCTGATGTGTAACACTAAGCTGAAGAAGCCAACTCGAGAGAGAAGAAACTTGGTCCCATCGTCACAGCCAGTGATTGAGAACCCCCCTGATAGACCCAAAAAAGGAGACCCGAGTGCTCCTTCCCAGAATGAGCTGCATCCAGCCCTGCCCCAGGCCTTCCAAGGAACAAATAGTCCTCAAGTATTGAGTGAGTTCTTGGGGCCACCACTCACACCCACCACTGTAGGAGGGCCAAGAAGGGCATCATTTAGGTTCCGAGATGAAGACTTTTATTCCATTTTGTCACTGAACAGCGGAAGAGAAAGTGATGACACTGAAGAGGAAATCCAGGTTGAAGAATGTCTGTGGGTTGGTATGCACTCACCCCATTCTCCTTCCCATCACAAAAGAAGTAGATTTGGAGGGACATCGACTCCTCAGGCCAAAAATAAAAATTTTGAAGAAAATGCTGAAAATTGCAGAGGTCATTCTTCAAGAAGAAGTGAGCCCAGACATGGCTCATTGAGAATAAGCAATGCAATGGAGCCAGCAACAGAATGGCCTTCTGCTGGGCAAAAGCTGTCCCAAGACTCCAGGCTGCCTGATAGGGAATCTGCTAAAGAGAAGGACAGAGGTGGCAGTGAACATGCAAAAAAGAGCCCCCTTTCATGGGATACCAAATACAAGCCCAGACAAGAGGATGGTGTCAATGCTGAAAATGCATGGAGTGATTGTATTTCTATGGAGCATAGGCCTGGCACCCATGATTCTGAAGGATACTGGCAAGACTATTTAAGCGGTTCTCAAAATTCTCTTGACTACTTTCTTTCTGGCAGACCAGCATCTCCAGGATCATCAGTGAATTCATCCTGTACCTCTGCTGTATCATTCATGCACTCTGCTCTGAGAGATGATGTTCCGGTAGACTTGTCAACGTCATCGACTTCAATTTACAGCTCAGACTCAGAGGGAAACTCAAGGTTTCATGTTCGCCGACCACTGTCTCCCATTAGAAATAGGAATCCATCTGCCAGTGCCGAAAACCACCATTATTTCCCAGTAAACAGTGCACACGAATTTGCTGTCAGGGAAGCAGAAGATATTACTTTAACAAGTCAACCTCAGGGGGCTCCATTATATACAGATCTCTTACTAAATCCACAGGGCAGTTTGTCCTTAGTGGATTCTTCCAACTCCTCTCCATCAAGAATAAACTCAGAAGGCTATTTTCGTGTGTCTGAGTCCCTGCAAGAAAATATACCATTTACTTTCTTTGCAGTGTCTGATTTCCCAAATCAAAATGAGAATGGGAACAGGATGGCAGCCTTTGGTTTCACAGATGAAAAGGAAACCAGTAAGATAAAGGCACACCCTGAGAAACTCCAGAAATTGCAAGAAAGGTGAGGACTTCTCATAATTATATGTTTTTTCCACTTTCCCAAGGCCGAAATTAGCATTGCTTTCATTAGAGAGCCATGAGAATTTTAAGTCATAAATGGGTCCTTTGTTGACATTTTAGTGGTTGCTTATTTTGAGAAAATTGTCTCTGTTTTGTTGCTCTTAAAAACATACGTATTTATAAAGAAAATCTGGTGTTCCTGATCAGTTTCTTCCATATTCCCGAAGTGTTTTTTTCCTTGAATACCACACCTTCAAGGTAAGTTTGCTGGGTATAAGGATCTCCGACTGCTTCACAGGGCTTGTTCTTCTCTCCAGCAATGAAGAACCAAGAGTTTTTAGGAAAAGGTTGCTATCTCCCTAGAGAATGAACTATTCAGCACTTGAAGTTCGCAGCTCTCCCTTACGGGACTTACCCCAAATCCAACCAACAGTTCTAGAATTTGAACCTTGCGAACTAAAAGACCGTTCTCAGTTACCATAGTTACCTCGGTTCTCTGAAGGGCCACGCTGGGGTAACCGCTGCTTGTATTTTATGTGCTCTTTCTCATGCATGAGAGAGAAATAAGATCTTTTTTGAATTGCCCTTTTCTTTGATCTTTCCTTTTTTGTGAGATGACGTGGGGATATTTCACAGCTATGAAATGTGATACTTTGTAAAGCCATCATTAAACACCATGTCAGGATTCTACCATTTCATTTATGATAGGTGTTTACCATGCTCTGATCTTGGCTTACTGATCTGGAAATTGATTCTTGGAATCTGAGCCCTCTTTGTGTATATTAGCATGACTCATGTGGGCTGTGAATTAGAAATGTAAAAACCGGAGGAAAATGGAACATAGAATGCATACATATTCCTATCAATTAATATCATTTATCCAACTCCAGTAATGAAGTAACTTTCTAGTTAGCAGTACCTTTTCTTTTCCACATTAAGCTACCAGAAGACTGACCCACGGTTAAGGGGCCAGAGATCTTACACCCACCAATCATCACCTCCCCAGAAATACAGCTTCAGACCTACTTGTCAGAAGTCTAAATTTCTACCATCCCAAAGTGATGCCCTTGAGCTAAAAATAATTTCTTTGAAAATGCATTCACTTCCAGGCACAGTCTTGCATTAAACAGCTACTATTCATGTACCTATTAATAGTTTATCCAGACACTCTCTTTTTTCTGTATATAATAAACTTTATGCTTTTCCTATTATTTCAAATTCGTTCCTTTTGGGAAATATTAAAAATGCAGACTGAAAAGAAAAATCACCTGTAACCCTATCATCCAAAGACAAACAATTAAAAATATTGTTTCTAGTCTTTTATCTGCATATAAATGCAATTTTTAGTATCTGTTCATATTGTTTTATAATATGCCTTATTTTAATATTTAATCCTATTTCTCAATCACACTTTTTAAAAATTTTCCCTCAGTTAGCTATCTTAATACATATAAATTAATACCTAACATAGGTACACTTCAGAGAATTTTTAAAACACACACATCACAAACCCAGACATCCCTGTGCCCACCGTCCAGCTAACAAACAGAACATTCCTCACACACTGGAGCCCTCATGCCACCTTCAGCTCCCCACACCCACCCTGACCATTCCTTTTGTGTTTCGTTGTGTTGTGTTTTGGGGTTTTTTGCTTTGAGCTTTTACTATGTTTAGATGTTTTTTGTTTTTTTTCTTGAGACAGAGTCTGACTCTGTCTCCCAGGCTGGAGTGCAGTGGCGTGATCTAGACTCACTGCAACCTCCACCTCTCTGGTTCAAGCATTTCTCATGCCTCAGCCTCCCATGTAGCTGGGATTACAGGTGCGCACCACCACCCCCAGCTAATTTTTGTATTTTTAAGTAGAGGCAGGGTTTCACCATGTTGGCCAGGCTGGTCTCAAACTCTTGATCTCAAGCAGTCCACCCTCCTTGGCCTCCCAAAGTCCTGGATTACAGGCATAAGCCACTGCGCCCAGCCAGTTTTTCTAAACAATATGTTGTATATATTTATGAACTCTGAGGAAGTGTTTGACTCTGTAGAAATAGAATCTCTATTCTTCTGTGACTTGCTTTTTCCTCTTACATCCTTAGTGAGATGCATCCTTATTGATATATTTGGCTTTAGTTTATTCTTTTCACACTACAAGGTATTCTGTCATATGGATATACCACAATTTAGCCATTCTGTCAATGGACATTCGGGTCCTTTATTGTTTTCTGCAAATGATACTGCATGAACCTTCTGTTTTTTTGTTTTTTGTTTTGTTTTGTTTGAGACAAGAGTCTTGCTCTGTTGCCCAGGCTGGAGTGCAGTGGCATGATCTCTGCTCACTGCAAGCTCTGCCTCCTGGGTTCACGCCATTCTCCTGCCTCAACCTCCCGAGTAGCTGGGACTACAGGTGTCTGCCACCATGCCTGGATATTTTTTTTTTTTGTATGTTTAGTAGAGATGGGGTTTCATCGTGTTAGCCAGGATGGTCTCGATCTCCTGACCTCGTGATCCACCCGCCTCGGCCTCCCAAAGTGCTGGGATTACAGGCGTGAGCCACCGGGCCCGGCCTGCATGAACATTCTTGTAAATGTCTGCTGGCTCATGTGGAAGAGTTCTCTGGGATCTTGCCTAGGAGTGGAAGAGCTGGGCTGGTAGGCTGGTGGGCTCGTGGTGAACACATTTTCCACTGTACTAAATAATGCCAATTTAGTGTCAAACCAGTCATGTCTAATGTTATACATCCTTGACAACATTCGTATTGATTGGCTTTTCAAATTTGCCAGTCTGATGGGAATAAAATGATATTGTAGCTTTAGTTTGCATTTTCATTTTCATGACTTAATGAAGTTAGGCATTTTATATGCTCTTTTAAATATTAAATGACCATTTGTGTTTTCCATTCTGTGAAATATTAATGTCTTTATTTTTTTGTAGAGATGGGGTCTCATTATGTTGCCCAGGCTGGTCTCAAACTTTTGGCCTCAAGCAATCCTCCCACCTCAGCATCCCAAAGTGCTGGGATTACAAGCGTGAGCCACTTTGCCTAGCCAAATATCTATGTCTTTTGCTCATTTTTCTTTTAGAGTATTTATATTTTATTTTAAAATACCTTTATATCTTTGGCATATTAATTTAATCTTTCAACAGTTGTGTGTTGGAAATATCTTTTCCCAATTTGTAGTTTGTCTTTTTCTTTATGATGTCTTTTTTTTTTTGAAGACTGAGTCTCGCTCTATTGCCCAGGCTGAAGTGCAGTAGCGTGATCTTAGTTCACTGCAACCTCTGCCTCCCGGGTTCAAGTGATTCTCCTGCCTCAGCCTCCCCAGCAGCTGGGATTACAGGCGTGCGCCACCACACCCAGCTAATTTTTGCATTTTTGTTAGAGGCAGGGTTTCACCATGTTGGCCAGGCTGGTCTCGAACTCCTGACCTCAAGCGATCAGCCCGCCTCATCCCCTCAAAGTGCTGGAATTACAGGCATGAACCACTGTGCCTGGCCCCATCTTTTTGGATTGCAATTTGTATCTTGTTGTCTTGTTTAAGAAATCCTTCTCTTAACCTGGTATCGTTATGCTATTCTTCCTATTTTCTTGTAAAGTTTCTAGCTTTGTATTTAGGACTTAATGTGAAATGGATTTGGACTTAAATGTGAAGTGGTTCTTAATATGTGATGTGAAGTAAGCTTTATTTTTTTCCCCCTTATGAATATGAAATATGCCAGTGTTTGGGATATTTCCCTGTTGATCCGCACAGCCACCTCTCCTTTGGAACATGCCTCAACAGGCCCCGGTTTCAGGGCTCTCTATTCTGTTCGATTGGTCTTTCGTTGTCTTTCCCTAACCTAATACCATTCCGTCTTAATGCCTGCAGCTTTTATAACTTTTGATATGTGATGATGTAAGCCTCCTTCCCTACTTTTTTAAAGAGTCCTTGACTGTACACTTAAGAATCTACTTGTTGGGATTTTTATTGGAATTGCATTTAATCTATAGAATATTCTGGGAGAATTGACATCTTTGCGATACTGACTTTTTCTTTGATAAACATGGAATATCTCTACTTTTGTTTGTGTCTTCTTTAATGTCTTTCAGTATAGTTTTGCAGTTTTCTTCATAAAAGTCATTTATCCCTTGTTTCTTTTATTTGTTGTTGTTTGCTATTGAAACAGTATTTTAAATTCTAATTTTAACTCTGTCGCTAAGATGTAGAAATCCAACTGACTATGTTTTCTCTGTATTTTTGCCAAAATACAAAATAATTTCAACTGTGAAAAATATTAGTAGTTTGATTTCTTTCTTTCCAAACCCTATGCTTTTTAATCCTTTTCTCATCTTACAGTGTTACGTCAATTTTTTTGAGGGCTGTTTGTATTAAATGTGTCTATTATGATTTGATCAGTCTCCTTTTTTGAGTACATCCATAATTAATTACTTAGAAAAACTTCCTAAATGTGTAACTGCTGATGAAAGGAACGCAGTCTTCAGGTTCTTAATGTATACTGTCAAATTGTGCTTCAGGAAAGTTCTACATGTTAGCAATTTCACCACCACCTTATAAGGGTCCTCTTTTTCCATGCCCTTTCCAGTTCCAGGAATTTCTATGCTTTTTAATGTTTGTCATTAGGAATTCTTGGCTGGGCACAGTGGCTCACTCCTGTAATCCCAGCACTTTGGAAGGCTGAAGTGGGTGAATCACTTGAGGTCAGGAGTTTGAGATCAGCCTGGTCACCATGATGAAACCCCGTCTCTACTAAAAATATAAAAATTAGCTGGGCGTGGTGGCGCACACTAGTGGTCACAGCTACTTGGGAGACTGAAGTGGGAGAATCTCTTGAACCCAGGAGGCAGAGGTTGCAGTGAGCTGAGATGGCCCTACTGCACTCCAGCCTGGGCGACAGAGCGAGACTCCGTCTCAAAAAAAAAAAAAAGAAAAAGAAAAAAAAGAGTAATTCTTTGTCAAATATTTTACAGATACTTTTTTACTTTTCCCATTTTACTTTATGTATATATTT